TTGTTGGGGGCAATATGCTGACTCTGTAAACCGCTTAGAGAGGGCTGAAAGCCCTATGAAGCGGTATATAAGTCTAACTGCTATTGCTATTACTTGCGGTAGCCTGTCAAATATTGGAACACTGCTATCATATCTCCCCTAGTCTTTGTTTCTCTAGAATAGTCATACCCATTTCCTGCAATTGGTCTTCATATGTTTTAGCCTCCAAGCCCCTAAACATCTTTGTTGCCTTTCTCTGCACTTTTTGCAGAGTCTCAACATCTTTTTTAGAAAACAAGGCATAAAACAAGGCAGTTGAAAAGACTGTTCAAATACTCCTCCCTTTTCCAACAACATATTTGTGTGAAGCAGACTTTTCTTTATATACTTCAATGAAAATAACATATCGCAGCAAATTGAACATAGAAGTAGATATGGGAATCCAGCTGTCTTCTATTAAAGAAGATATTAAAGAAACTTGCAAAAATGTAAAACGATTCTACTGTTCTTATTAAATGTGTGTTTGTTTTGGAAACTAGTTATTTTTCATTAAAATGTTACGTATGTTAACATGTAATGGGTTTGTTATTGTTATTTTTAAATTAAAAATATTTTTAAATTGTATCAATTTTCATTTCTGTTATGGCAAATACAGTATCAATAGATATAACTTACATTTTTTAAAAGCTCTTTGGGATCCTTAGTGGTTTTTAAGAATGTAAACTAAAAGAGATGAGAATTGCTAGGCCAGAATACCTATTGGTTTAGTGGATATTCGATAATACCCACTGTCTAATAGGACAGAGGACACCAGGTTTCCTCTTTTGGGTGATTATTTCAGAGATATTTCCTTCTTTAAACAGAGAATCAGAATTGTCACAAGTGGGCAAAGAAGCAGTGGGAGCGAGAGCAACTTCTGACTTCCTCCTGGTTTCCCCACGGAATATCCTTGTGGGGAGCTGGCAGGGAACATCAGAAATCTAATTAACTCCCTCCCTCCTGCTAATTCCTGCTGATGCCCCCATTTACTTTCCTTGTGGGAAACTTTCAGGAAGAAAGTTACAATAAATAAAGAAGCAGGTAGGAAATTGCAAGTCCAAGGCCGGCCAGCAGATAAAGTAGCTGCTGCCAGGTGGAAGAGGGAGTAAGGAAATGTGCAAGGGTACAGGTTGGGAAGAGTACGCTATGTGGGTTTGGAAGGATTAGGTAGTGGGGAGGTGGACAGTGTGGATCAAGAAGGATGCATGGGGAAAGGAGGAGCTGACATTGCAACGACACGACGTGCGATCTTGGAGCTCCAAGATCGCAGTTGATACTTTTGCCGCTGGACGGTCCTTTTGGACCTAAACAGTCCCAAAGAGACAGTGATAGGGAAGAGTACGTCCTGCTGATCTCAGGGACACCGCAAAGTCCCTGATTGATCCAGGAGAAGCTTTTCTTGCCTAAATTTGACTTCTTTCCAGAGACAGAAGCGCAGCCATTGAAGCTGCTGAAGTTGGGACAGCTCCAGAATGGGAGGAAAATGGGAAATGGAAAATGTATGCAACAAACCTATGTAACTTCTTAACAAAACTCCAAGATATTTGAGCAGCTATACCTTACAAATCTTATATAGAGAATCCTGTCCATCTCCTCCAGTATCTTTAAAATATTCATGTGCTGGAAAAGTACGATGAATGTCTCGTGTAATGACACTGTCCTGGGAAGAATCCTGCAAAAAGAAAGGAAAGAGAAAATCCAAAGCATATTAAATTTGGGTAGCAGAACACAGTTATTACAATATAAATCATGTGCTTGGCAAATTTTATAACCACTATATTCCTGTATTTAAAATATGTTGACAATCAGAGCAGGATGGGATCCGGATTATTCTACTGTATAATGCATGCAAACTAAATAAATGTTTGCTTCTTACAAAATAAAAAGCATTCCTTTTACTTTCTTATGACATATCCTGGAAGAATCTGCTTTGGATAAATTATTAAAAATAATTCCTGCTTGAGTTACAATTAACAGAAAATTACCTTAGCTGATTAATAAATTGTTGTAATCCTATATACTTTTCCATTATTAATTATTTATAAATAGAACTTTCTTCCTTTAATATACAGAATATATAGCAATAGCAATAGCAGTTAGACTTATATACCGCTTCATAGGGCTTTCA